TTTTTGGCAGGAAAGTCTTACCTCTTGGGAGTCTCTTTGATAACTTTTGTCATATTCTGAAGATAAGGCAACGCTGGAACTATTATCTCTTCACTATCCTTCAGCGTTTCGTTGGAAAAGATGGAAGATAGATGTTTCATCCAGGGATACTGTAAAATAAACATTAGAGGATGATAAAACATACGGAAGACTATAACTGACGTTGTTGAAACCTTAAGTTCAGATGAGGTGAACAGTGAATTCTAGGAAACAGAATGACTTAAACAATTCTTTTTGCATTTCTTCCTCCCCCTAACCGAAGATTCTTTTAAGTACACTCCCTTAGGGAAATTCGAAAGTTGCAGGTTTCTCCAACTTCATTCGTAGGCCCCAGTCTATTGAAAACTGATGCATCTTTATTCCAGAAAAAAAATAAAGAGATATTACTTGACTATCTTTTCCTTACCCCAGGTGCTTCTTTTTTCAGTTTACCAATAGTCATTCGGTTGAACCACGTGTCAGTCTTGTCTGCATCAGGGACACTTATCTGAAGAACACATTGAATGAAGGTCAGACACAGATGTGAGAGAATACTTAACGGCAATGATTTTTGATCACTTAGAGTGCTTGATCTATCTAAGATATTCATAAACTTTGAATAATCGTGTAATGAAAATTGTGTGGCTAGTAATCTCACCTTTGCCAGTTTCTTTTCAAAGGCCACGATCTCCTCAGCTCTTTTCTCCATCTGGTCATCACCACCGAGCAGTTTTCCGACTGTCGTGATGAACTGCTTGTACGCCTTCATAATCTTGATCAGAGCAAACATCACGTTAGAGCAAGAGAAGATCAAGTGGACAGACAGAATTACACGTATGCGCCTTATGAACCTTTGGAGCTATTTTTTCATGCAACCCCTTATCCCGCTCATAGCTTCTTTTGTTCCTCTAAAGCCTATGGCTTAACACGATCCTGGCTGGCTTAAGAAAAAAAAAACCGGAACGACATCTATGTCAGCTAGTTTGCACGAAAGGGTGGTTATTATACGATCCCCTTCATTTCTCTGTTCTTCCCCCCCCTTCCCCCCTGTCATTTTTGTTTCTTCCCCCCCCCCCCCGGCTGGGTTTAAAAAAAAAAAGACTTAAACGATACCTAAGTAAGCTAGTTTGCATGAGAGTGTTTTTATTATATGATCCTCTTCATTTATCCTTTCTCCCCCCTTCCCCCCCCCCCCCCCCCCCCACCCCCACTCACCCAAGCAATTTATTATCATAATGGTTCTCTGACATGCAATTTGCAGGCACAATACATCATAGTCTACATCCCTCGATCAAACCCTAATATAACTTGTATGATCAAATTTTAGCGTTTTCTCTCTGCTCCTCCAAAACATTCAATCGGTCTAGTTAACTCTCCCGTAAGGAAAATGTCGCTAGATGATAAAATGCCCGTTTCCTCTGTAGTTCCCTGTCATTTCGCACATCTTTCCTGGTAATGTCCAATGTTGTTACCTTTGGACTGTCGAAGTACACCTCTCTAGAGAGACTGGGTCCGGCCTGATCTATCTGGTGGTACATAAGTAAATATGTTGTAGCTCAGTGCATGAAAAGATAGAGATCTATACAAAATAATGATGAAAAGTCCTTGGAAACATTTCAAAAGTAAAATTAAGTATGTGGAAAATAAGTATTGCCTGAGATAAAAGATGGATGTCCATTTTCCTAAAGAGGATGCCGAGAAACAGACTTCATTCAATGCCTGTTCAAAAGGGAACAGGAAAGGACCGCTTTCGATTGTTGTCAACAAATAAGTGCAATACAATACAGTTACAATTACACCTTTTATTCCTCGCTGGAATCCGTTGGTGAGATTTTTTTAATTTCCTTTTTTGCTTTGATAAGGTGTTGAAATGACATTCCACGTTATTGTATAAAATCTGGTCTAATATTTCACCCGGGTCAAAATGTAAAGATTATTTTGCACATGCCTAAGCGAGCAAGGATCGGGATTAACTGCTGCAGAAATCATCGATAATTACGGTAGTGTTTAGTTGCAACTCAATTTTACTTCGATGCGCTCAAGAAAATGTGCATGGGCTAAATATATAGACAATCTCACTAATTTTTTGACGTTATTTGACGTTAAACGCGGTACAATTTGGTCAAATACAGGCAATCCCCTCAAGGTATTTATCTGCGTTGTAAAAAAAAATCTACAACAGTCCCAACTGGAGGGATATTTTGATTTTTACATCTACCCTGTCGAACATTCAAATTTTCCGCTCGCATAGTGTCGTAAATTTAAAAAGTCCTAAATGTGTTGATAATATGCTGCCGCCAGTCTTGTGAAAAAGGCCTTTTACGGTCAAGCTCTGGTCGATGATTTGGTTGAAATGTCATTTTGTTTTAAGTAGCGCGAACGTTTGGAGGCTGCCAAGTTGCATTTATCTACAGCAGGTAAACCAAGCCAAGTGCCAAGTAACCTGGTGTAGCTCAGCAGGTCAAGAACAGCCTCTTAAACGTTTGTCACAATAGAATTATGTCGGTAAACATGACAGACTTTTAGAACAATGTCATAACTGTTGATTTTCCATTACTAAATTTCAAAAACTCATAAAATCTACCAACATGTGTTTCGTTATCAATCTGCCCACCCGTTCGCTGTATGTCTATCTGGGTTTCGAATTATTACCGCTTGTTTAAGAGTAAAAATGAAATCAATACTGCCTGTAGGGAATTTTCGTGTAAATAAGAGGGTGAATTCTCTTGACAATCAATGAAGTCTTTCTAATGAATCTTAAAAGTTTAAAATCGCTTTTCTTGATTGGTTAATGATTTCCCAGTTCGTGAAGAGAAAATGAAATCTGTCAATGGCGGGATGAAAGACTCATGTAGAGTTTAAAAAGTACCATTACATTTTTAGTATTCACACCAGGTTTCCCATTAAATGGCCCTCACCTCAATTATGTGCCTGGTGTTGTTTATAGGATCATCACTAATATGAACAGAAAACAACGGCCCGCCGGCGGATGTGTAGCTTTTGTGAATAAATAACAAAGTTTTTTCCAAATCCCAATCCTTTTCATTCCATCTTGACTTGACATCGATGCTCCAAGAGCCGATGTCGTTGATCAGATCACGAATTGGCTTATCCCCCAAGCTGTCAATAGTTTTCAAATCCATGCACGACTCGAAGAAATGCTTCGGCAATTGGAATAATTTTTTGCTCGCAGATGTGATGCCCTTTTCCAAGATATGTCTTATATTGCGTTCAACGCGACCATTCAGTTTGGCAAACGTGGAATAGGTGGACGAGCTGCGGGGAATAGGATTTGCTTTGATCCAGCCTCCACAAACATAATCAAAGAAATCTACACAGGGATCTTTGGAGTAATCCATGGACGCGTTTATATACTTCGCTACTTTTTTGCATTCTTTACTACGGCAAATTTCCACTGATTCCTCGTTGGATACAGAGTTTACACTGCGCGCTGAACGTATGGCGCCTCCAGTACTTACAAGTTCATCAAAATACGTTTTGTGCTCGTCACTTGTTGCCACATGAACAACGGCCACCACTAAAATGACTGTCAAAACACCGAGGATACCCATAAACCGTGCCCCACAGCCCCAATGGGACACACTGTCTTTCATTTGGGATCCCTCAGCGCTCCGTTTCCTTTTCGAAATATCGCGCCCCATTTGTGTGATCGATTCTGGGGCTTTGTGATATTTCAGTAACTTCCCTGATACCCCAAGATGACCTTCCCGATCCGTCGTATCAACTCGACAAGTTATCAATTATGTACCAGTTCAACAGAATCTCACGTAATCGTGTTTTGTAATTCACGGATCGGACGCTGCCCATTCGGAGCACGGGGATTAAACGGAAAAGTGACACTGAACTTTATAGGTGGAAGGGAAATTTACGTTTTACTTAACTTCCATTTAAAAGTGGTATCGTTTTTCTTACAATTAAAATCACTTTGCTTCACTTTCGTTTCGCCTTTAGCTTTCCTGGATTAAGACAAGGATGGCTGCTAACGTCTCTGTCGTAAAAGGTGACGTTCAGAAGTGCCTTGTTGAATTTCGGATATTTTTACAATTTTAAGTCCATGAACTTGATTTAAAAGTTCGGAATGTTCACTAATCTCATCAACGCTGTATGTGCTAAGAGACTAATCTTTAACTTAATCTGAACGTATCGTTGAAAACTACAAACTTTCACTATAAATGACACTTTCGATTAGCTTGGCCAATCTCAACTGGTACCAGCAAATAAACAGTAAATAAACGATAAAAAGGGTTTGACTATACTTGTAGATGTCGTTTACTCCTTTGGAGAGCAAAAGGTTAAAGATTGCTGGCCTGCAGTTCCATTGGAAGTTCCCATTTCGATGCAAGAGACGTGGTCTAAAACGTTAATGTTCAAAACCACGTACCTATGTGTACTTTTTCAAAAAGTCAAGACAGTATGTTGCATGGCAATACCCTGTCTCTCCACTTATAAAGCTAAATACTGGCTGACATACTGTCAAGTACCTCTGAACCAAAACGCATTATGTCAAAAAACGTTCAATAATCTTACATTTAAAAGTGATATTAGCAAAAGCGATTATATCTTGTCTTTACAGCGCGGAAGAAAGCATAGAACTCAAAGTTAAGTTGAATAGTTTTCTCTTGCAAATGAAAATAGGTATAACAGGGGGGGAGTCGAATTTTTATGATTGCTCTGTTCAACCATTTATGGTCCATCGTGAGGTAATCCCCAACCTATTTGACATCATTTCGCAATATTTCACTGATACTGTCTCAATTCTTCTGGGTGGTAATAAGTAAGAACTGCAAACTGAACAAATCAGAGCTAGACCTGGCAAACGACTCTTGATCTCGCTTCCCTCAGTCAACCCCTCCCCTTCCCCCTCCCCCCCCCCCCACCCCAAACGTAGTCTGGTTTGAACAAATTAAAATAAAACAGAATGCGTAGGTATTGTTCAGGTTGTTGGCGATCTTAATTACCAATCTTCACCTGATTTCATTCCTTTTATTCATAAAGCACGAGCAGTAAACATGCTCACCTATACAACCGGGGCCTTGAGTTCGATCCGAGGATGATACAAGAATGTTTATTTATACTTATTTGTAGAATATCTGCTAAGAAAATAATGGAGAACATTTCTACGTCGGAGACTGTAACATGTGACTTTTAGATCACTTGAATTGTTAACCATAGCCAAGCATGCTCAGTAGATGTTCGCACGACAGCACGGTTTATTTGCTAAAAACAGAGAAGAGAAGGTTTTAACGTTTAGTTACTTCATAGCTATCATTGCATGAAATGTGGTTACTTCGTAGTTCTGAAACAACAAAATATAATTTTGACAAATGATCAAAACTTCTTGAATTACGCCCACGTGGGAATCTTTTAACTTAATTCTTACTTTGGGTTAAGGCATGCGAAGACCACCACGGCTCCATTTTTAGTGTTAAAATCGGGCCCCGTAGCAAAAAGCCCAAAAGAAGGTTCCTGGTCTAGTCCGGTGATGAAACCTTTTTTCATGGCCATTGGGATGGCGGCTTTTTTCATGGCGTCTGGGATGAGGTCTTTCCTGTATTGAGCCTTATAGCCATTAGTGCAATGCAAGGTTTGGGACATTTCTTGATCTGTTGAGAAAAAAATAGCGTCGTCCAATAGCATCTCGTGTGAAAATTACCTTGAGATATTCTCCACTCAAGACCAAAAACACTTTCCTAAAAGACATGCGCATCCTCAGCAGGGGAGGATTTCCCTTCCTAAGTATTTGGAAAAATAATCTTATTAAACATAAAATGCCATCTATTCTACTGCAAATCTGTCAGACGTTACTCAATTTTCGTGTCATGAAAGGACCAAGACTATTATTACTTCACCTAGCCGACGATTTGCTGGTCCTTTGCAGCATTCTCTGACAGTTTTTTTTTTTCTGGTTCTCACAAATTCTCCTGAATAGAGGGATGCACTGCGTGGGATAAGTGTGTTTTATCACTAACACAAAAATAACAATCACCCAAAGATCAAATCCAGAGCCATCTGCGCGTCATTCCAGCGCACCAATCATTAAGTCTCCGCTATATTCGAATCCCCAGTTAACAATATTGATAAATATTACCTTGACCGCAAGTGTAGTAGAACACAATGTCTAAACCGCTGGTGTCTGATCGTGTCCAGTGGAATTGTTTGCTTGGAGGACATCGAATTGATGTAGAGAATGGCTCAACTGTTCCAGAAATCAAAGAATAGGGGATGGATTTTAACCAAAACACCTTTACACTGTTGTTACTGGTTGAACAACCTCTAACAAATCCTTCGTTAATTACAGTATAGACGAAGATTCAGTACCTACAAAGACCTACACGAAACCTTTTGTCTGAGTTGCTCTACAGGAAGAATTGCAGTATGGTAGTGGGTTTCTATGCCTATAAATAAATCCTAAGAAAGCCTTAACGGACTACTCCCGCTGAATTTAAGTTTCGAGAAATTATCTCTTGCTTTGCTCTGGATATCGCTTTTATTTATTTCATAGGAAGAAAATTATTGCGAAACCCAAATACGAGAAAAAGCTGCGTTTGTATGTGCCTGGGTCCATTAATGAAGGAGATTATGCGCAATTAGGATACTCATTAGAACCTTAAAGAACTTTAAAAGCTACTTTCGACGATCTATATTTTGGGTACTGTAAAACCAAAACCAAAGAATTTCGAACAACCAATGTAAGCACAGGAGATTTATATAAAAAGCCAACGCGGACGCAAAGAAAAAAACAAACAAACTGTTCAATGCGCGGGAAACGTGGGTGACCAAGTCGCGATTGGTTTTAGTTTTGAATCTGATTGGTTGAAAGGATGACGTGAGTTTCAAGATCCAATCACATGGCGAAGTGAAGCAGAACCGAAGCAGTCCGAAAGTAAATTGGAAACTACTCTCACGAGTCCTACACTCCCCTTCAGCTGGTAATTATGACACACTTTCCCCCTCCCCTCACCCCTCCCCCATTCCCCTCACCCCTCCCTCATTCCTCTCATAGCAAATAATTTAAGGCAACAGAAACTCAATCGGAAGTTTATCACTTACTTAAAGCTGACGGAAGAGGATCAGATAAGGCTGAGGCCTGTGTCAAGAACACTCCAAACACAGCGAGGAACAGAACCCACATGACTGAAAAGCAAATGGTGTCGTTGTACTTAAAGAAGACCTGTCAAACAAACTCCTCATTTTCACTTACTGAATCTAAGTACGTTTGCGATTAATTATCATATAAAGTACCGTTCACGTCGTTGTTAATGAAGCGCTGTTCTAGGGCACTAGTGCCATCATTTTTGTGCCACCACGACGCACTTCAAACGGAACGTTTTTGGAGCAAGCCACAGTCAATTGCAAAATCGACCCCATATCTCTTGGTTTCTCACCGTTTTTTCTGCTAGACCACATTAAGCATACATAGTTTGGTTTCATCAACTGACTGAGATGTTATTGTAAATTGGCCACTGTAGAGAGCGTCTAAACCTGACTTTTCGAGGGTTAGCTCTTCGTCTTTCGCTCAGACGAAGGACTACTGCTAAAAACATCGGCTTCAGACACTCTTTACGGTGGCCAGTTTACGCTATCAACGCAGATGATAAATTCAATTATCTTGTAATACCACCCAACGACGCAGCACCGCATTTTCCTTAGAATCTTATCCGCCCTCCTCCCCTCTCCCAAAAGGTATTTTGTCAGGTTTCCCTGCGAGTAATAAAACTGTGTTACTGAAAAAAGACAATACAATGGATTTGAATGCGGTCAGCGGTTATCGTAAGGTCCCTTCATAACATACATCTTCCACTAAGAATTTTTTCAGTGGTCTTTTTGCCCTGATCTCTTGAACAAGGTTCAGAGAGGAGCCTTTGATTTTAAAAAAAAAAATTTCATTTCTATTCTATTATGGCGTTGACTAATAGAATAGAAATCTGCTCTTTGTCACTCCTGGTTTTTCTAGTCGTGGTACCTGCAAACCCAAACACTTGGTACCTGCTCTTTACACAATGGAGATCGTTTGAATAAAGATACTAGTAGTATATGTTAGAAAACACGTCTCAGTTTGTATTGCACAAAGCCCGCGGGTCCCAAAATACATCGTGCATTTAGCCGTGTCGATCTAAACAAATCCTTATGCCAAAGTTGCAAGAAACTCCGTGACTTCTGCATTTACAGACTCATCAAATTTTTGTTTGAAGATGAAACTAATTGATCCTCGAGTACTTTCAGAAGACATACATGGATTCGAAATTTGTGAAATAAAAGATCTTTTATTACTCCTTTAAATTCATATGCGAATGTTGCATTTGACGAACCTAAGAGATTTTAATCGAAACCTTTCTCCTGTGTCAAGAGGACAGCGACGTTTGTCACAGATACAACCCCACAGTAGGAGGGGTTGTTTGAAAGCGTTACATAAGCGAAGAGGAAACCATTGTTGGACCTCTAGAAACGAACAGTACATGGCTCGATAAATTTTAACCAAGATCCTCTAGGCTTACATGTAATATGAAATAATTTGGAGTTCACTCACCTTTAGAAAATATAGCTAAAGATCCAACAGATTATCAAAACACACTGAAGACGAATATTTAATGAAGAGTTCCCCGAAACCTGATCACAACAGGTAGTTATCATGTCTTTTATTAAGACGCATGCTCGCATGCGCAGTTTAGAAGGACTTCTAATCTTGCCTAACTTTGAAAATGAACCTAAACTCAGGGAGAAATCTTCAGTAAAATTTCTCCACCACTTTTAATTTGGAAGTTCTCTTGTCGATGGCAGCTAGTAATGATTATGATTAAGCTATGATGGCTTCGCTAAGAAAAATTTAAACTGAAAATAAAAGCAAAAAATGAAATCAACTGCAACGTGAAATTCTGCGCATCAACTGCCTTCCACTTACACTGGTAGGAACTTTTATGTTTTTCTTCGATTAGATTGGATTCTCATTTCATTTTTTACGTTTTTGATTGAATTTATCATAGTCTGTTAAAGCGCTAACAATATTTAAACATCTCAATGACGGTTCATTTCTCAAAGTCGCGCCGCGCTAGGCGGGAGCGCGTGCGAGCGTGGATTCCATCCTTGTTCTGAGTTTTGTGCATGCGCATTCATAGCCTAACAGCGAGAAAATATAAAAGACTAATTTTCAAAAAGTCATCTCTATTTTGTCTAATATAAACAGAATTAGCTTTGCTGCACAAACCTCGAACCGGCAGAATTCAGATGTACCGACTTTGAATAATAAAACATGCGACTGAAAGAACATGTTCGCGCACAAGTAAAGTGAGGAACTCATTATGATAATATGATATATTCACGTAGTTGTCCAGTAAAAACAAATCATAGTCTTCCTTTCAGATCTCAACTCTAAACAAGGGTAGACATAACACAGTCGTGCACGTACGCGGTTCTGTATCATTGCAAATGTTTGGAAGACAAAAGCTTATATGCATGTTGCCGGTTGAACAATGAAATGGAACAATCGGTCATAATATCAAAAAGATACTGAAATCAATAGTTTCTTTTAAAGGAAAATGATGTGTTGGGGTCTGTGCGATGTACACGTCAGCATTGAACGAAATCTCTGGACTTCCCGTTCAACTGAACCCGTCAACAGGCAAGTTTTAGACGTCAAGATCCAAGTCGTAGCCAAGTGGTAACAGAGACTGTGAAGGTGTAATGGTACACTTGTTTTGTTTTGTTTTTTTTCTAAAGGTTTCTGTTTGTTTGTAATAAAAATGTTGAAGACGCCGGATTCACTTTCCGCTGAAATGACGTCTTATCGGTGTAACCACAGTTATCAGGTCTTTTTCGGTATTAATGAATCTTCAGGTAATTATTCATTCAGAATGTGCTTTCAAATTTATTTTTCCAATTGATCTTTTTCTATATATGAAAACATGATATAAGACAAATATTACAGTGAACTGATATTCCCTAACTTTACTCCGTTTTTAAGTAGCGACTTCATTTGTTCTCCGAACAATAAAGCGAATCAGCGACTTCCGCTAAATGACGCAAAACGAGTAGCCATGGTTACTTGGATACAATCAACGTGATGGAATATTCCAGAAACACGGAGACAAATTCTATAGTTACATATTGACCTTTAATCCCCTACAAAATGTTATTTATGTTTTATACAGGACATACAGCGGAAAAGTAAGAATCAGTGAAAATTCTATGCTGAGAAGGTACATCTACAGTATTCTACAGATCCGCTGATGGGCTTAACAGGCAGGCATCAAATGAACTTGACAGGTTCACCGATACTTAAGGTTAAAATGCACGGCATATGTTTGATGAACACTTAGCATTTTATTCTTATGTCATCCATTATTTTCTTTTGATTCTTCGTTTATCCCCTCGCTTGTTCTTGGGATCCGAAAATGATAATAAAAAACAGATCAAACAAAACAAAAAAAAAGTACAGGAAAAAGAATGAGAGCAGGGCGCGAAGCAGCGGTGTTCCGCGAAGATTATTTTGTAGATAACGACGGGAAGGAAAACATTAATAGGTTTTTGGGAGTGTACTTATTCAAAAACAGGAAAAAGCAAAGGTCTTCTGTCTCTTCTCTCCTTCTCCCCATTCATTATTCCTAAGAAGGCTTAGGGCGTTCTCTGCCAGCGGTTTCTTTGGCACTTAAATAACGGCAGCGGAGCCGCGTAAACGAGCGAACACAGTTGGCTTCACGGCTCATTTTCGCGCCCCTGCCACTCAATACGCACATCTACGCAGGTATCAAAATAAATGCTGAGCTGTCAATCATTGCAAAGTGGATCGAACACGTCTATTATGAACTTCTTTTTTTACCTGTACTTCTGAGACCGAGACATACGTTTTAGGTGAAAAATCGAGGAAGTTGCCGCCGGAGTTATTTTGGATATATCAGAGGAGGCCGGACATGGCGGGGCAAAATCACACGTTCCATATCAAAAAGTGATTTCCTGCTTTCATACAAAAGTTGCGCCAAATAAAAAATGATTTATAATTTTCTGCCGATCGCATGGTGTACAATGAGCTTCTGCTAGCCGTACAGCTTATTGGGGGGTGCCAGATCCCAAGTCAAAGCGATTAACATTTTTCGTTGCTGAATAAACACCGGTGGAATGGTGCAACTTGAGGCGTGATCGTTTTCAAACGGCAAAAACAAATAAAGGGAAGTCCTCAAATAATATCCGGTGCTTAAAAATAATCTGGCTTATTTGCGATATGTGTTCTCAACTGGGTGCCGACAGCCGTCCTGCTGTTGCATCATTTCATTAAGGCTCTCGCAAATGTCGCTATTTCCCTTAAACTGAAACAAAATTTCCTTTTAATGTAAGTTAGGCAATCTTGTGACTAGAGAAACGCTAACATTCTGGGCGGAAAGGATAGAAGAGGACAGCTCGGCAGAAGTCCAAAGAAAGTGTTACGTACAAAGGTTTTATTGGCTGACATAAATCACGAAAAGTAGGTGTTAAATATCCGTCATTTGACATTTAATTATGAGCGCTAGGGCCAATCGAGAAACTAATCAGCTCTCACGCTTAAACCGTTGACAATGGTTTCACGGTCTGTTTCTCGGGCCTAAACCTTTCACAAATTTGTCCAACAAAGTTCAGCATTTGATGGAACTTAAGGCCTTGAGATCCTGACGATCGACAGTTGATTGCTCAGCCACACGAACAATTATAAATCATCGGTTGACATTTCGCACAATCCACGTAAGGTATTTTTGTAAAGGTGTTGAGAGAGAGGCACCGTTGAGAGACTGCGGTCTTTGTGCCACTGAAAGCGAACTAAAAAACCCACCACTCCTGACGCACCGCTAAAATACTTTAAGATATTTGGGATTATTTGCCTCTTGGCTTAGTTTGTTTTGGTTCAAGCGTTAGACGAACCGACGGTTGACCAAACACAACGATGCTGTCCGTTGGTTTGCTTTTTCTGATGTTTTTCCTGGCCTTTGAGGGCGCCGTAGTTCAAGCTGATGACGAGGATTACGACCCTTGCAAGGCTGGTAAGATTTTTTATCTACGTTTCGTCGTCAATTCCCTTTTCTTGCGTTTCTTTTCTTTGTCAAACGAGCCATCTTTCCTCGTGTGAGAAACACGAGTATCAGCGTGCGCTCTTGATCGCTCCTATCAGTTCAGTTGTCAGATTAATAGTCGTAACTAAACAAAGCCATTCCCGCAATTTTTCGGATTAAACCGGCTGCTGTTTTCAACCCGTTTCTTTCACGGTCTCCTGAACAATGACGAGATTTTTTAATTCTTTCCCTCATTGGGAAAACTACTTGAACGAAGTCCTGATGCGTACTGTACTTCAGCCCTCTCTGGTTCCCTTTGTCTAAATGCATCAATCATTTGCATCAGATTTTATCGCTTCAGTTAACACAAGCCTTAATACCTAATTTGATGCCTGCAGATGGTATCGTACAGGGTGATATTGCAGTTTCTAAGGCGGACTTGCGTCAAAGCAGAAGGAAAAGGGCTGCGACTGCATTCAACAAGAGGCTTTGGCGAGAAGGTGTAATTCCTTTTGAGATAGCAGACGGTGTTTACACAGGTAAGAAAATCGGATCGAATCTGCGTCATACTTCGTTCGATCCCCTAAATGTGGGGCACCAGTTCAAGTTCAAATTCATTGTTTCACTTTTGTGTTGCACATTGAGTGACCTTATGCATGAAAATAGACCTTCTGTTATCGGAAAATAATCCTTCACCAACAGGGTGTATTTTCACTTAACTTCAAGGGAGTCTTGGGCAAAAAAATGCGCTCTCTTGGAGGATTCACTAAAAAGCAAATATCGTTTAGGTATTGCCTTTTTACCGATGACTCTGGCCTTAAGAAGTTTATTTGTAATTACTGTAAAAACCTTTTGTTTAACTTATTTTGCGGATGCCTATCGTTAAGCTTTCCTCACTCATGAATGATGTCATTAGGATCATTCTCGAAAGCGTTTTGCGCGGATCGTCTTTCAGTGCTTAAAGCATTAGAAGAAAGAGTATTCAGTTAAAATTCTTTATCGTAATCCATCAATTTGTCACTTTTTATCATTTGTAAACATAAACATTTAATTTCCTATCAGTTAGTTTAACACAACTATTGCATAATTATTTTTATAAATTACGACAAACCAATGAAACAATCGTTTATTGACAATTTTCGGTCCTTGTTGCAAAGTTAAAACTGGGTCTCTGATATTGATTTGGAGTCCTATACCTTCAGTGTATTGGGTTCACTAACCAAAGGATCATGGATGTCTTTCTAAGTGGGCCAGTCATAAAAATCTTCGTGTAAAAAAGGGAACAACGACCCAATGAAAACTGTTAATGCCGAATACCCCAAAGTGGCCTTTTCCCATTGATTGTATTGAATACCCAAGGCGTAGGTTACTTATGTCACTGACGTTTCAGCGACGCTAGTAAGATTATCACAGTAGGAATTGAGCCACGCTACCCCCACTACACCACGTTTTGCCGACAATGGAACTAAAGTACTTTAATGAAAATGAAAAGTTAATCCCCTCATTTGTATAATTTAGTCGCCTTCATGAGCCATTTAGAGCGTCTTCAAACGGTCTATGAAGGCGGAAAAATACTACGAATGAGTCCATTAACATTTTATGTAACTTTATTGGCATATTCAGCCCAAGATGTAATTTAGATATGCAATTTGTTTTAAGGCTTTATTCATAACTCTCTTGGATTTTGTTCGTCTCATGTCAACAATTATTCACTACGAAAACATAGTGTGGTGTGCTTGTGACTTCTGATAGTATTCCCCGTAAACCTATCCGCTTTTCTACTGGATGGAACAGCGGTCTTCCTTTCGTTCTTTTTATCAAAGGTTCCATTTTGTAGCTTTCACATCTATTTCCTAGCGCTGCGCGGGACCTAATTCTGATTTGCCTTCGTCAATTCTATAATGTGAAGGAGACGTCGGAAGGGGAGTTCCTCACGAGCCATGGTGAAACACACTCTCGTCAGATTCGCTTTGAGCTCTACGGTTGATCGGCGATTTTATGAGCATAAGCTCCTACAAAATATGTGAGCTTAAGTTTTAAAAAGATAATTCATAGGGAAACATTCATTATCGTGTCACGAAATGAAATCGATCCTAGAATAATTTACAAGGTCCTATTTTAGGAATTCGTATGCGCAAACCCAAAACAATCTTGTGACAGTCTAACCGGCAACATTGTGATCTGATTATCTGTGAGGCGGCGCTAATTTTTTTATCCGTTTAAAATGTAAGCGAGTGGTTCATTATCGGCTTAGGAAGTAATTACGGGAATAAGGTTTGTCTTGGACGTTTTCGAGGGTGGAACGTTACTCCTACTGCTGTATTTGCAGCATTTCAGCTGGGCCCGAGGATCCATTCCTTGGAAAGGGCTGTCTTAACCCTTAGACTCCCAAGATCTCATTAGTGATTCTCCTTACTGTCTGCTATACAGTTCTTCTGATGAAGCTTTTGAGAATTTGGTATTGGATCTACTAATAATCCCCTGATTGATACTTTTCTTGGTTCTCATCTAGTCTTATTGATTTTGTATTGATATTGTGAGGAGAAATTCTGTTTTTGTCACTCATGGGAGTTAAAGGGTTAAAGAATTTCTTCAGCTCTCTTTAATTAATATCAAATCCATTTGCTTCATATTCAATGAATATTTTCGTTTGCGATAATCGAGGAATTGTTCCTCCGAGAGGAATTCGTAGCCGTTGTAAGATCTCTCCTTTTGTTTTTCGGAAATATCAAAAGGTCAGGTCAACAGAATGTAACTTAACGCTGACAGCAATTTCCTGGCGGCAGATTGGCAGTTTGGTGGCAGCATTTATTGAAACGACGCAAACAATTACTTTATAAAGATTCTTTTCGCAGAAACTTATTCTTGGCCAGGAATTAAACAATAAAACTCACAAAATTATGCAGAAGAATGATAATGCATACATGGGAAGGGGTGAACGAGGAGAAAGAAGGATACAGACTTCGCAATGAGGCAAAGATTTTGCAAATTGTTTTGGGGATGATAAGTGCATAGGCTAGCTTATATTACATCTGACATCAAAATAGTGTCCACTGGCCACTCGCGTAGAGGAGTAAAATTCGATGGGAAAGGATACACCAGGGTACAAAAGGATATAAACAATTTCTTTGAAGCATAGTTTTTAGCAAATTGTTTTGGCGATGAAAGCTTCATAGGCCTACCAGAATGACATCTGACATCAAAATAATGTTCATTAGAGACTCCTGAAAAGAAGTAGCAGTCCATGGAATGAGTAGCCGAGGGAAAAGATGGATATGGATCATATCGCTTTCAGTGAAACCCAGATTTTGCAAATTGGTTCGGTTATGATAAGTGCACAGGCCAATTTGTATGACATCTGACATCAAAATGATGTCTATTGGCAATTTTAAGGG